CATGGCTTGTGTATATCAAATATATTATTCATACCTTCGTGTGTATAGGACGCAAGCAGATTTTGACATCAAATATTGGGGTAAAAAAGTGTGTCTTATACACTGAAAAATACGGTGAGTTACATTCTTATTTGTGTATTCAATTACAAACATGTACAAAATAAAGAATGAAATCTAAAAACAGAAAATTTACTGAATTGACATCTTATAACCTATAACAATATGCCAGACTCACACACATTCAAACTTAGAAATTAAAAAAAACAAAAAACAAATGTACTTAGTACAAAAAATCTTGGGAATATTTATCTTTCTTACATAGATGTCAGAAAGGAACCATTTAATTAGTAACTAATGGGCATTGGTGTTTATGAATTACAGGTACATGTGGGTTACTTGAGTGTAGATTCTACAGATTCCAAAACATTTTTACACACACTGTAGTTACCAAAATGTAATCAAAGTTCTTCCAAGACAGCATTATCCATTCGAAACTTTTGAAAATGTTAATTTTACCAAAATTTTACTACAATGCAGATTAACTTTCTTTCAAAAAATATATACACATATAACGTAAAATCTACTAACTTATAATAGGTATAATTCATTAAATGTCTAGACTTACCTCTTGTAAGTGTGCTATTTGTTTGTTTAAACTGTTTATGTCTTGTTTAATTATATATGTCAGTTCCTGAATTTCCACAGGTTTATCATCAAACAAAGACTTCCTCTTGGCCACTATGCAGAAATATAAAAATGAGCTATTGGTACTTTGGTATATAATATGAACAAATATTACAGCCTTGCTATTTTATATACTTCATATAAAGTATTTTAAAGTTTGTAGCTGAGTTTATAACAAAGTTTACATTTCTCAAAAATCCAAGAGTTAAGCACACACAAAATTTTCTACAGTGATATATTTAAACAGAACTCTTTTGAATTTCAAAAATCATGAATGGAAGTAAAAAAAAGGGGAAATTACAGTTTACACACTTAGATTACACTTGTCAAACTCCGAATATTAACACTTCCTGTTTTGAGTAGAATTTTTTGTCAAAGAAATTAATTAGTATCACTGTCAAACACTCCACATGTGATGTTTTATATTTTTGATGAACTGTTATTAAATAACAGAAAATTGTCCCTACTTTAAATAGTGATTAGAATTGCTTAAAACTGATCTTACACATAGAAAAAAAAAAAAATATTGTAAATAATATGATTATATTCAGAAAAGAATGGGATCATCAGCTGCCTAGTTATCAGAATGAGCAAATTCTGGCTTCAAAAAGAAACTAGACATAACAAAATAGAATATGTTACAAAAACCTTACCAACATTGGATTCAGTAAAAATATAAAGTACCGAAATATACAAAAAAAAAGTGACAGAAAACTATTTGGCTCATCAACATTACCCAATAAAGCAAGTAGTTCAACTTAAATATGAGCCATCAGATCAATAAATTATCCAACAAAACCTTAAACTAACAGCACATATCACATCATATGGCAACCATTTCACAAGTTAATAACACTAACAGCAGAAAGGTTTGCTAATTCTTATCGGTCTGGGCTTACATATCATTTACTTATTTCCTTTAATATTCAGGAAGTTACTTCCAACCTTATTCTTTCAACACTCCATAACACCTTTTATGGACAGTTTATTCAAGTCCTTGATGATTTTAAACACCTGAATCAAGACATCTCTGTTTGTTTTTTTTTACTATCCACGAGAAATTAAGTTTC